CAATGAACTTTAGGTACTGCCTAGTTAATTATTTATTAACGAACCACTCGATTCGCGAGAATTACACATTTTAAGCGAGGCTTGGGCTTGCCTTTTATGACAAGTTTTCACAAAGATTAATGGCAAATTTTACTGCACAACAGCAAAAAAGCTGTTGAGTTAACGCATGCCAATCTGAAAACACTTGAAATTATCTTCATCAGCAATCATTGATTAAGAGCTTTAAAGTTAAAGCACCCTAAAATCAGGTAGCTCTCGGCGGGAAGTTAATAACCTTTCTGGCCTGAACTTCAAATTTAGCATCAGGTTGCACTTAGCTTTCTTCTTCTTGAAATTCAGCTGGACATTAAAGCTTTGAATCTGTTGCAATAGCATTTCACTAGAGGGCTTACAATATAAACTCGAATAGTTAGTTTACTTACTTTTGGAACGCCAGATGGGCTTTAATACTTTGATTTCGATCATGAAGACGACGGCGGCAATTATAATTGCAGCCAGCGTGGCTTTAGGAATGAAGTAGAAGTAGGGCGTAAGAAACAGGAGTGCTATAATGACTAAGGTTCCGGAATAAACATTGCTCAGTGGAGTGCGGACCCCGCTGGCATTGTTGACAGCTCCACGACTAAGTGCGCCGGTGCCCGGGAAGCCTTGCATAAAGGAGTTCAGTATATTGGCTGTGCCGATAGCAATGAGTTCCTGGGAGGCGTCGATGGGCTGGCCAAAAGCTAAATATAATTGAAAAAAGGTCAGCTAGCGAATCATTTGGCTTAGGCTTTCGTCGACGGACTCACCGAAAGCCTTTGCAATTGCAATACTCTCCATGAGGGAGATCAGGGGAATCACTATTAGCCCGGAGCCAATGCTGTGCACCATGTCGACGAAGCCCTGCGGATTGCCGTCTGCGGTCTCGTTGGCGCTTAGAGACGTGGGTGGCCACTGCACACTGGGCAGGCCCGGGGGTATCTCGCCTACGATGCGAAAAGGCGCGCCATGCTGGTCGCTGTGCAGCAGATAGCCCATGATGCAGCAGACTACGACCAGGATCGCGTTGCGCGCCGTGCCCACAATCCAGAAGAGCTTGTTGGCAAATCGTTGACAGCGCGAGTGCTGCTCTTCCGGCGCAGGTCCGATGCGGTATGAGGAGAGCATGCGCAGCATCAGGAGAACCACTATGCACGTGATTCCCAGAATGGTATCCGTGGGTCTGGAGTCTTGTATGTTGATAAACACCTGCCTCCAGACCTCCACAAAGGTATTGCCATTGGCCTTAATGCCTAGCACATTCTGAATTTGTGAGGATAGAATAATCAGCGAGACGGCTGAGGTGAAGCCTGAGGCCACCGGCCCAGAAACAAAGTCTATGAGAAAACCCAACCCAAACAGGCCCATTAGCAGCTCAACAACTCCGCACATAAGGCAAAGTAACACCGACTTCTGCCAGGAGCCCTGCGCCACCTGATACGTCAGCAGCGCAACAATAGCTGAAGGACCCAGCGGCACGTCCTTACAACTGCCCAGGAATATATACACGAAGCATCCAGCGAAACTAGAGTACAGTCCATACTAAAAGAATCAGAATGTGAAAATTGCAAACAAAAAGTTAGACTGGGGACTTACCGCCACAGGAAGACCTGCGATTCCCGCATAGGCTAGCGCCTGCGGAATGACTGTGAGTCCGACGCTTATGCCGGCCACCAGATCACAAATAGCATCCTCGCTTCTGTACGCCGGAAGCCAGCGCAGAATGGGCAGACGCTTGTGCAGCGTCCTCTTATTGAATAGGCGTCTCTTGCAATTCTCGAAACAGCCTCTCGACCTATCCAGAATACTTCGGCTCCCAGCTGGAGGCACCTTTCGGCCATCTTCTGTCACTGAAGCAAAGAATGCAACCTTGGAGTGATAGCTAATAAGGTAAGCAGTACCTACCTACCTATCTAGATATACATATATGTATATTCCACAATAATAAACCGTAATGTGACGTTCACTATAATTCATAATGGCACGTACTAAGCATTCGCTATTTTAGTGAGTTGGTTTACGTTCTGTTATTATTGTACGGCAATTACTATTGTTTTTTTGTTCATAGTATTTTTTTCAACATGCACACGTTTCATTGTCAAGGGTAAATTGGGTGTATCTTATGAGAACATCAATAATTATTTTGACTCTATGGCGGAAGCCTATCTTAGTTGCACAGCTGTGCAAAAATATCAATTTTTAAAGGGAATGAGAGATATTAGGTCGCAATGCTAAAGTTTTCCAATAAAATCAACTCATTAATAGATTGTAAAAAATACTCTGTTTACATAAGGGTTTAGTTAATTGCAAAACGTTAATTAAACAAACGTCAATTAAGAGTGAACGAATCACAAATATGAATATGGACCCTCCTTACACACCCTTCCGTACTAAACCTCTTGTTACTCGTCAAGCAGTCTTAAAGCTCATATTAGAACCACGTATTATTAGTACATATCTCTTTCCTTAATAATATTTATATATATTTTACATTTTCTATTCTCAGTATTTATTGTATTAAAATGAACTTACGTACAAGCTCCTTGGACTCCTGAAATGCTCCTCCCAAACTGCAGTCACTGGTACTTTGCTCTGGAAGGTTTAAGTTGATGGATATGGTGGAGGACTTGAAGGCATCATTTAGGTATACGTGATTCATAGCTGGGTTAAACTTCATTTTAAAATCAATCAATAGGAATCTACAAATATTTGTCTGGCAATAGTTAAATATTTAAATAGTCTCATTTTAATCACAGTGATGATTTTGATACATTAATTATTTGATTATATTTGGCACATTTACTGTGGACTGATAACTAAATGTAATCTGTGTACAAATTCTGCATTGTGTGTGTATATTAACAAACATTTAATATGGTTTCTTCAAGTTACCATACTTATGAAAGTTAACTGGGCCTATGCCTGCTTATGCTATTGTCTAACATTTTGAAATTGCTTCAAGCAAGCGAGTCTGAGCACACTTCAAGCTTGTCATCTATATATTCGCTTTTATAGTTTCCGCGTCCGGTTCGGTATAGACCCATAGACGTGGCTATATCGACTCAATCCGAATATGAATCGATATGAGCTACATTGTCAATTATGGGTTTAAGGAAGTGGCCCTTAATATTTACGGGTAATAAAGTAGGTTGGAGTGAGTGTACCTAAGCATGAAACGAGATACAACAAGAACTCGTATTTAATGTTAATCTTCTTCTTTATTTTGCTTAACACAAAAAGTAAAAACAATTACATATGTACATATGTATATACAATATATATGAACAAATAAATATTTTTGGTTTTGCTTTTTTAATATTTAGGGTACTTTACTCAAATGGCACGCTATAAAATATGCACTTAATATACTTAACTTATTATTTTTGTTTTACTGTGATTTTCCATCTTACATATGATCTCACGACCGAAAAATGCGAAGCCCTTTTGTTTGCTTTGTGCATAGACGTCAATTGTTTCGCCAACTTACCCAGATTTTAGTTGAGTTCAAAATAATTAGGCCTCTATTGAAAACAAATGCTTTGTATCGCTCGCACCGGCAACTTGACTTATAACATTTTTTTTTTTTTATACTCGTTTGTTGAAAGGAAAAAAACCGTATTTGAAAAAGGTTTATTGTCAATTTAATTGCACATAATTGCGTATATTTGGCTTTGGAGATCGCTTCATTTGCATGCAAGTCAGATTTAGTGGCCAAAACTTTTACCGATCCACAAGTTTTGTAATGCCATTTGCATCACATACACTTTGGGATTCACATCATTTCAAATATATCAAATATATATATTAAAACAAAAATAAAACTTAGTTTTTAACAGACATCACATTATTCGAGCACCCTAGGACCACGAATTTAAGCGTTAAATATAAGACTGGGCCAGCGTTGGCAATTGTTTGCTTGCAACCAATAAAGCTTCGGAGCTTTTATTGTATGCCAACAATGCCAACTGAGAGCTTTTGGGTTTGGGGAAATGCCATTGAACATAAAGTCGTACTATACTCATTTGCGGAATTGGAAGTGCGTATGCTTTTTCTCTCGCACTCGAAAGCTTAGAAGATGAGAGCGCGCGAAAGCGAATGTTGTTGACATTGTGACTAAGCAAATATTATAAATATGCTTGCCTGAAAGTACAAATTCATTTCGTTTATAAATATGCATTATTTATTATCTTGTAAATTGGCTTAAACGACCTAAATGAACCAGTTGTTCAAGAACTTTTGACGCATCAGCTTCAACTGCCCGGCTAGCTCAGTCGGTAGAGCATGAGACTCTTAATCTCAGGGTCGTGGGTTCGAGCCCCACGTTGGGCGAAAATAAAATTTTTACTTGTTTTTTAGAAATTGATTATTTTTTAAAATATACTTTTATAAACAAAAAACAGCTACAATACAAATAATACCGAACTTGCTTATGATTATTTTGGCGCTGCAAATAATATAGATTTTTAAATGAATTAATGAAACGCTATGAATATTTTTAAAACTTTTATTTAATAAAATTTTACTGCTACGGAAAAAACGTTTTCAATGGGTAAGGTTCTTAACTGTAACGTACAAAATTCTGTTGAATGCAACTATTTCATAATTAAAGCAAAAAGTCGAGATTGGAAATCATTTTGGTTTCAGGTGTGAGCTACATATTAAAACTTTTCCATGTGCATACATTAATACGCTGTTCACATCGGGATTGTTTGTATAGTAAATTGTGAGATGTTTTAGCCAGAATTAAAGAATGTTTGAATTGAATTGAATTGAATTTATGTATGCATATATGTTATTATTTCATAGACATGTGCTAATGCTTGCTACATATTAAATTGAATTAAATTGCATTTTAGGCAACGTTTGTTAATTGATATATCAAGTACAGACTAGTGTTCGATTATGGATTCTATAAAAACCACTTTTAGATAATAATATATAATTTAATTTATAAATACGTATATATTTATATTAATATGTATAACGCGACTTGTGTGAGAAGCGAATAAAATTGACGGTGGTACTTATGAAACTTATATAATATAACGACATTCGGCTAATGAAGGCCATACTGTGGAGAACATCTATTTTTCTAGCCAATTGAGTAGATTGCTGCAGTTTAGAGAGATCATTTTCAAACTATGGTTTTTGATTCATTGAGGCACATTTGATGGATATTAACGTAAATATTGCACTGGGTTCGGATTTCCTTTGCCTTGCGGTCTGAGGAGCCTTCTAGAAATGCTTCCTCATGCTCATGTGAGCGGAGAAGAGAAAAGGCGCCAGCAGAGTGCAGATCGATATCAAAAGGCTTACAGCATATTGTTGGTTTGCTAAAATGGGAATTCGAAAAATCGTAAAATATATCAACTTGATCGTTTAAAAACCATTATCAGTTGATCTCACCTCCACTGCAAATGTCGTGCAAAATGTCCTCCACGTAGCCGTTGTCGTTGTCGCAGAGACACAGCTTGGTTTTACTCGACATGAACTTGGATACCCCAATGGTGCGATTAGTGTTCTCGAATTGACAAACCATGCCATCCTCACACTCATGATTGCTGTGGCATCGATGTCGCAGACCTGCAAATCCACAAATCAGCTTAGTAATTGCCATAAATTATTTTACCTGGTTATAGACAGGAACTTAAAAAATCCTAATATTAAGATTTTAGATTCTGTTTGTCGCTGGGATTGAGCTCTAACCTCTAGTTATTTATAAATATAGTCTTATAGAATAAATTGCAAGTACAAACAAGTCGCTAAAAGAAAAAGAAATCCTAGTTTTAAAAGCAATCCATATAATTTTATAAATTACTGCAGTACGTATTAAACCGGCCATTACGATATTAATCTAGACTTCATTTGAGACTAAATACAAAACATTATAAAACTTAATTTTAAGATATTTTCATTCGAATGAATTAAATTAAGTGCGTCATCATATTATATTTAAAATTAGTTGAATCTTTTTTCAAATGTAATTGTAATCATAATTGTATTATTCTCAATCTAAG